GGGTTGTTTATTTTTTTGGACATATTATGTAGTTTTGTATTAGTCCATGAAGCCCCTGCCGTAACAATGAAAGGGAAAAAGAAATTAACTATGAACCTGTTTGGGTCTAAATGAACACTTATGGACACAACCAAAACTGACCTATTCGCACTTAATTTCATCTTTGTTTTTTAATCGACAGTCTTTCTGCGGGGGCGTTGTAATAATAGTATACCTTTCAGACCAGCTTGGGCATGACAGACAGGGTCGAAACCCCTACCCACAAAGATATAATTCGTGTCAAGGAGGCTTGAAGCACCTACGTAAGCCGCAAATAATCCTTTAAAAAACAGTAGGCTTTTATGTAAGTTTATTAATCAAAACACCTGAGCTATTGTCTAGATCTAGAACTACCAAAAAATTGTCACAAAAATAGGGCACAATGTACCTACTTTTTAATTATGTGCTTTTCGTGGGTGGTTGGAGGGTGCTCTGGTGTGGTTTGCTTCTTCTTTCCCATCAAACATCTATCGTCTTTATCTCCCCTCCTTCTCTTTTGTGTTTGTTGTTACTCCCTTGAGACCAAAATTGAGTCGATAGTGCCGTAAAACACCTACTCAATCAATCAATCAATACTCCCTTGTAACACCTCTAATCTTCGGCACTTATTTGACCTTATTGTGTTGCAAGTTCCGTAAAACTCTTACTAAAAAAATAATTAAATGCTTATACTATTAAACATCACTTCAGATTCGTGAGATTTACATGCTGTGCTTTTGTTTTGGCAAGGGTGTTGATAGAATTCATGACAACTGTAACTGGCTGGGGCGAGCCAAGCTCCATGAAAACATTGCGGTTATTTTAAAAATATTTTTATTTTTTTTCGGGGTGCACTTATGGGATCTGGAAAGTGTTGAAAAACCAGTATCTGTTAATTGTTGCTGGAAACATTTTGTTATTGCAAAAGAGACAATCCCCCCCGCCCCCTCTCCAAAAAAAAACAAAAAACAGAAACAAAAAAAACTATCAACAACAGAAATCAAACGAAAATAGGCACATAGAATGTTTGATTTTGAATTATGAACTGAAAGTGAAGGCACTTTATATATACTAAAAAAAAAAAAAGCCTTTAGACAAGGTGTAAAGGACAGTAACGATCCGTAAATTTTGAGTCCCTGAACCTGTTTCGACGCGGTCCAAAAGTTCAGAATTTTATGTAGGCTGTTGGTGGGTGCTCTAGTGTGGTTTGTCACTTTTTCTATATTTTGCAAACATCTGTCGTCCTTATTATCTTTCCTCCTTCTTGTTGTGTTTGTTACTCTCTTCCAACACCTCTATTCTTCGGCACTTATATAACCTTACTGTGTTGCAAGTGCCGTAAAACTCTTACTGTGGGTGGTTGTTGGGTGCTCTGGTATGGTTTGCTCCTTCTTTCCTATCAAACATCTATCATCCTGATCTCTCCTCCTTTTTTGTGTTTGTTACTCTCTTATAACACCTCTCGTCTTCGGCACTTATATGACCTTATTGTGTTGCAAGTGCCGTAAAACTCTTACAAAAACTAAACAAAAACTC